TGCCAGATTATATGCATAAGCTTTGCCGTCTGTCACAGCTTTTAATTTGCTTTAACTCATGCATTTTCCTCTTTAAAATGAGCATAAGCAGCCGAACAAATGCACGAAACTTTTGGGAATTAACTCGGATCTGGGGAATTTTCGATGACAGCACTGGTAAAAACGGTCAGTTGTTGTCTTTTGTACAAGTAAGCAAACGAAGCAGTCCAGTTTCGCGTACGCGGTAGCCGAGTGGTGAGAGTTGCGAGCTACAAGCCTGTAGCTGCCAGGTTCGATACTCGGTTGGAGCGATTGTGAAACATTTTTTATTTTTATTATTTATTTTATATTTTTTTATTTTATTTTATTTATATATTTAATTTTACTTTATTTTATTTTCATTTGCTTTATTTTATATCACATTTCTTATTTTACTATTAGTTAATTTTAATTTTTAGAGATGAATTTTGTTAAAAATTTAACAACAACTAACTGAAAGTAACGTAAAAAAAATATAGAACTTATAAAAAAAGAATGAAAAAGAAATAAAAAAGTATACTGGCCGTGGGACTCGAACCCACGACCTTGCGGCTGGTTTATTCGCATTACTGCCGTCTGTAAGGGTAAAATTTTAATTTGCATTTATGCTTATTAATTCAAATTAATTTTCTCCGTCTGTCTACCGTATGAGGCAGGCAATTTTTGGGAATTAACTCGGAACAGGGGAACTTTCGCTGACAACACTGGTAAAAACGGCCAGCTATTGCCTTTTGTTGAAGTAGACAAACAAAGCAAGCGAGTTTGGCCTCATCGCTAGCTACAAATCTTAGGTGCCAGTTCGATCCTCGGTTGGAGCGGCTGCCAAAATGTTTTTTGTTTTTATTATTTTTAATTTTACTTTATTTTATTTTCATTTGCTTTAATTTATGTCACATTTTTTATTTTATTATTAGTTAATTAAATTTTTAGATTAAATTTTTATTGAAAAGTCAACAACAAACTAACTGAAAGCAACGTTAGCACTTGCGGCCAGTTAATCGGCATTACTGCCGTCTGTCAGGGCAAAATTATTATGCGCATTTGTGTGCTCGTTAATCGGCATAAGCATGCCCGTCTGTCTTCCCTATTAAATATAGGGATAAACATTGTTTTTGAAACCTATTTGTGATTATACTTCGCGCAGCGCATATATATATGGTATCTTCCCAACAACAACTACACTAATTTTTGCCGCTTTAATTTCTCCATCACCTGCTCTCACTGCTCAATCGTATGTCACTTTTACCTAGAAATCAAAAATCAACAGACTTCAATGTCGTGCTGAGTGTTGGGTAACCGCTTACACGCAAATCTCATTTAACAGATTTCTTATGTGACCACTCTCACGTGTTACCATGCAATGCTGAGTATGTGCAACATAAAAGAATGTTTGGTTTCTTTAAGTCCCATATGAAAAATTAAGATGGCAAGCTCAAATTTTGTCACAACTATTTTTTTGTGAACGACAACGAATTTTTCATATCGACCGAGAGAAAAAGTCATTTTATTATAATAAAATTAAATAACCTTTAATTTCTTTAATTTCATCTAAATTTGTTTTGATCGCTTAACGTGTTCCCTAGATAAGAGTAAACAAAATTGATTTTTCCAAAACTTCCGACTCTTTGAAGATTTTACTTAATTAAATCTTTATTATGCAATACTTATATTTTTAGAGCAAGAAAAATATAATCTCCCTATTACTGTATAAAACCGACCCAGCCTAATACATATATTAGAGTGGTACAAAAAATCCTTTTTTTTAATGTTATTCAATGTTCACGCAAATTTGTGTTCCTTTTGCTAAAAAATGAAAGTACATAACTTGATTTAAAAAAATAACAGAATTTAGAGATCGCTCAAGTCCATTTTTTTTTACTTAAAATTTCTCGCCTTCAATCCGTCCGCACGCGAAACACCTAAGGAAATTTAAGTTTTGTGAGATCTTATATGCTTTCGAGGACGTTGAATATACTAGGAAAGTTATTTTTTCGATCCGGCTCTTGCCTTTTAGATATTACGAGAAAATATTTAAAAAACAAGAAAAAATCCCGAAATCGCACTTTTCTAAACTTTTATACGAAGTTTTAAATGTGGATTTATGTGGTGCTGGTTATGTAATATGCTAGACTTCTTTAAAAAATTATAAATATTAAATAAACAAAAGTAAAATGGCCACACAAGTGTATATCTACAGCTTATATTTTTCATATCCATGCATTTTGTGAGGGAATTAGTATAATTTTTTATAATTCCACTAAATTTCAGTTAGAATCGTTTCATTAAAAAAGCAAAACAACAAAAATTTGAGACAAGAAAGATAGACTGCAACGATAGACTAAGAGAGTACCAGTTTGACACAATAAAATATAACCAAAGATCATAGGAAATAAGGATGCTTCCTTATATTCTATGTTCTTTGTGACAACGAAAGTGCTGCCACGTTCGTCCGAAAAATGGTTTTTTGGGCCAGAGTACAGGGAGACTCTTGTTAAGTTGATAAAAAACACTGAAAATCGGGATTTAATCGGTACAAATATGAAAAATCGGCACACTTACACGTCCCGACTTTTAATTAATTAAGCGGGACAATTTGCTCAAAATCGGTACTGTCCCCACAAAATCGTTACGGATGGTCACCGTAATATATAATAATTATATTTTGGCACATACATTTATGCTATATGCGTTTGTAAGTATTATATTAAAATCTAATAATTGGAAAAGGTTGAGTTGTCACTTAAACCATAAATAAAGCTGTTGATTTCAAGTAAATTAATCTGTAGTTTCACTAATCTTTTTGTACACATTTTTAGGATATTCCAGCATTCTTTGAATTATGCGTTAAATAGCTTAACGCAGAAGGTATTCTATTAACTTTGTTCGTCGATGCTTGAGCGAGAATGGCCTCAGAAAACATTTATGAAGCAAACAGAGGTACTGATGAAGAAAGCAAGTACGCTTCGAGTACCGATAGCAAATGCATGAATTATGGTTTGAAATCGAAACTAATTGCACCATATTCACCTATATACGAAAATGTAAGACCCGATTTGATTTCCGGACAAAAGATATTATTAAGAAAACTATTTCAAACTATCGAGAAACCGGATACCATATACGAAAATCTGTGTCGAGGCTGCGGATATGGAGTTTTTGAAGCGAGTAGTTATTTGTGTAACTTTTGTTCATGCATTGTTGGAGGGCTGAAAAATAATCAGTTACATCATTTGACAGAAGTCAACCAAGTCTATGTTAATACCGGCGAGAATATTTATGAAAATGTTTGCACGAAATGCTCTGCTTTATATAATACTGATGAATGTGAGACTTGTTCCGCCGGAGAGAGCATAATAACCCCAAATGTTTACGAACAAAAAAAAAAGGCAAATGAAAATTTAAAAGATACCAATATTGCCTTAAAAATATCAAAATCGAAATCTTTTCATAAGTTTGATAAGCAAAAACTTTTTAATGGTCTTTTCGGATCGCTTAAGAGAGGTGTAAAAACCAAACAAAGTTTTCCAGACGGTCAAAGGCAGGGAAGTAAGAAACCAAGGCAACTTGATATAGTCCATCACGTTGAAGGATACGATAACATTTTTCGTACAAAGGAAAGTTTCGATTTACAAAAGATATGCCAACTGAAACAAGCTCATAAACTTTGCTCAGATATTTCGTATAGCGACGAACATATTTATGGGCGGCTTAAGTATAGCAAAAACAAAGCCAACAACATCACTAACGTAGACAAATTGCATATGCCGTTGTCAAAATCCCAAGAACTATTACCGGTATCTGGCAATGATTCCATGTACTTGATAAACAACACCGGCAACCAATCAACGTCGTCAATTCCAAAAGCATTCAGCTCTTCCTGGATGAAATTACAGATTTCTAGACCCCTGCGCATTCAAGATAACCTCTCTATTACCCCGAGCAATATAAAGCTGGCGTTGCCATTGTCGAACAGTGTTTGCTATTGGATGAAATTATTACGTAAGCAAATCCATAGTTATGACAGTCATACTAGTGCGGACTATGCTTCGTGCATTCCGAAAAGTATTCCTCCAAAAAGCGCTATAATGTATAATTATTACGCCGCTAGTTCAAGCATCAACGATTGCTATGTGAAGGTGTTTCCCCCTTGTTTAGCAGAAACGATGACTAATTTTCCAGTCACTGATAAAAAAGGCGAACTCAAATATGGAACGTTTACGAATAAAGTAAAACTACAAACTGATTCCAGTAGCTATATTTTTGGCGAGCAAATGGAAAGCTGTTTTGATGTAATGGTGGACGTATTTAAGCAAAATGTTATGACAAAACACATGCTCTATCAACAGAGAGAGTCTCAACCATCTGTTGATCATTCCAATATGCTCAGCGCAATCGCCACACCAAATCATCTAATACGATCAGTACCGCAACGAGCAAAAAAACAAAAAATGTGTATTCACAACGAAAACAATGCTGCTTTTGATCGCCCTGCTGAGCGCAGTCCGATTTCAGTAATGAATTCTCCTCAAGTACTCTCAACAGTTGCCGCTGAAATATACTTAGCTAGTTGTTGCTCAACCTGCAATGCGACCGAAGTGAAGAATAATTGTTGCGGCTGTTTGAATGTGGTCGATGACGTTCCTCGATTATACGACTCCGAATTCCAGTCCCAAACGGTGGCTTCGATTGGAAAATATGAAAATAAAACAACCAAAACGCTACTAAAAACAGAAACGATTGACGCGTATAACAGTGCTGTGGGATGTGAGGCTCACGAAGAGCATGTGAGGCAAATTTATACTTCGAGTAATACCAATGTGGACGACATTTTAGAAAAAATATTGCACATGCAAAATAAAGCTTGCTTAAAGCTTAATTTACTGCATTTATTAAACAGTGTGTTGATATCTTATAGCCTTAACACCAAAGTGTTACATGCGTGCTCCAATCGATGTCAGTACTTTAGTTGGTTACAAGATTGGTTACTTTATTATTATAACCCATGGAGCTTGAACGCCAATCGTGCTTTGAAAGTGCTTGCTAATTATAACAGCCTTAATATAGCGTTTAAATTATGGTATACACTGTATGAGTCAGTAGCGCGACAAAAAAACATGTTGAAAGATGATAAACAAGAGGCGAGTGATTGTATTGGTGAAGCTCCGACTAGCACACCAAATGCACAAGTTATTAAATATAGTCGTATGACATTGCAGTGCGAACCAGAAAACGTCGATGTTTTTGATGAGAAAGAGAGTGAAAAATTTATTGTGAGAAAAAGTGAGGGTATAAAAAGCTCAATGAAAACCAACGATGAAGTAGTTTTGCGTGCAAAGAGCAAAGAATCTTTGGAAAGAAATAAAAAAGCTCAAGGGAAGTTTTTGGATCTCGACACTCACGTAGTTGGATTAATTGACAACGAATCAAAGCCAAATTATGATAAGAATTTAGAAGGTGATTTGGAAACATTAGACGGGGAACTTAGTCACACGACTGCTCCGCATGGGGCTCTTGTATCCAAAGGCAAACAACCCATAAATACCAGAAACGAGTATTGCCATCAACGAAGTGAGGAAGATATTTATCAACCCATTTGGAAGTTCCAGACTGTTGGAGAACCTCATGAGCCCTATGACAGCGATTCTGAATATTACGATGCGAACAGCGGGCATACAAGCTTGTTGAAAAACGAGCAATTTCAATTAAATGACTCGTCAACATCACACATACTNAACTGTTGGAGAACCTCATGAGCCCTATGACAGCGATTCTGAATATTACGATGCGAACAGCGGCCATACAAGCTTGTTGAAAAACGAGCAATTTCAATTAAATGACTCGTCAACATCACACATACTTATTGCTGACAGTGTGGAAGATCATGGCGAGTGGGAGACAGATGACGAATTCAAGTTCTCAAAAATTAACGACGGATTTTACCTGGCTGAAGACACAATATCGTCACAAACATCATGCAGTGCTGCCTCCCTGTGTAGCAGCACAAATACAAATTTTGATAGCAATGTTGCAAATCTCTCTGCCTCAGCGACCGTTAATTTGGAACATCCTCATCTGCGTACAGTGTGCATTTTTTTCAGCCCAAGTGAGCCCAAACTTCGTGCTATCGTTTATGACTATAAACGTACTCAAGCATCACAATNCATCACACATACTTATTGCTGACAGTGTGGAAGATCATGGCGAGTGGGAGACAGATGACGAATTCAAGTTCTCAAAAATTAACGACGGATTTTACCTGGCTGAAGACACAATATCGTCACAAACATCATGCAGTGCTGCATCTCTGTGTAGCAGCACAAATACAAATTTTGATAGCAATGTTGCAAATCTCTCTGCCTCAGCGACCGTTAATTTGGAGCATCCTCATCTGCGTACAGTGTGCATTTTTTTCAGCCCAAGTGAGCCCAAACTTCGTGCTATCGTTTATGACTATAAACGTACTCAAGCATCACAATACTTTTCAAAACGCTCACAAAAACATTCATTCAGTGAGAAAACGAGCAATTTTTCATCAATAAATCATGCTGTGGACATTCCGTCAACACAATCAAAAGGTTCAACCAGCCCATCAGCAACCACGGCAAAACCTGCGTGTGATAGAGCACTATCAACATTTAACATGACATCGGTGAAGGCGTGGAAACTCAGCCTTTTAAATACTGCCAACGCAGACGATGAAGAAGATTTGGTAAGTAAGGGTATGTATGGCATTATCCTAAATTTAGGGCGTTTCTCAACTCAACTAAATGCATACATATATGAAGCAAAGCAACGCTAGTTGAGTTCTGTTTTTTAAAATAACTTACACAATTTCTTGTTACATAAACTTAGGGACACGAATTTCGATGCGACACGATGCCTAATCGCTGCTTATCCCATTCGGTACCGATATTTTTTACTCGGTTAGTTTTAAAACGATATTTTTTGGAATCGAATACAAGACGAACACCAGAAACTTTGTGTTGAAGCGAATGTATATTCACCTTACAAACGTATTTTGATTAAAAGGAAAATACTTATAAAAATAAAATATTTCACACAGACAACAAAAAATATAATCGATAATCGCAGAGGCTATTGTCAGAAAATTTTAAAATGTACTTAGCCGTAATAATAATAATAGATTGGCGCTTATACATATGTTAGTGTTTGGCCGAGCTTTTCCTCCAATTTGTGGCGTGCGCCTTGATGTTGTCACACAAAAGGGAGGGACCCACATTTTTACGCTGACTCCGAACAGCGATTGTATTTTTACGATAAGCTGTTTGTCGTGGCAGAAATACCCTCGAAGGTTTGTCATTGCCTACCGATGGGCGACCACTAGCTAAGAAAAATTATTTTTTCTATGTATATATATTTTTTGCCGAATTCTATAACCTTTTATTAATTTTTCACTTTTTCTTACTGGTAATTGTATTTTTTGGTACTGGTTAAGGCAAATAATTATTTTGTCATTATCAGGCAGGACCGTCTGGAGACGGAATACATTTTTTGGTATATCGACGAGCCCGTCTCCAGACGGTCTTAGATTTTCTCCTGTCACATACTACGTTTATACGCATGCATAAGTCGCTTTAATTCATTTC